TCTCTCTCTCTCTCTCTCTCTCTCTCTCTCTGTTCGAAGATTTTTCCAAAATAATTCGATCGAAATAATTAACGAAAGTAAAAGAGATATTTGCAGAAGGATCACAGAGAAACACAGTAAGAAAATTTTTTTCTTCGAGAATTTTTTTTTTCTTGCATTATTTTAATTGTAAAAGAGAAGAGAATATTTTGAAGCATTATTGTCTATTAATCTGGAAGCGAAGAAGAAATGGTTGTTATCTATCTATCATGATCTTGGGGAAGATTGATTTTCTTTCTGAATGAATTTCTTTGCAACGCAAGCTCGAGAAATTTTCGATGATATTTTTTTTTTTTTTTAAGGAGGGAGATCTTCGATTTGAAAGTTTAAAAATTTATGCATTAAGAAAAGAAAAAATTACATCTACGCTTTCACACGATGTCTTTTTTCATGTCACGATTCATTATCTGCACGAATGTTTGTTAAAAAGATAATAATTCGAAGAACGTTGTTTTTCTCGTTGGATAATATTAAAAAATTAATATTGCAAACGAATTGTTCCGTGTAAAAGAGAAGAGATGTAATTATAATTAAGAGACTTTACAATATCGAGAATTCGATATTCATTTTCATTCTTTCAATTTTCAGCTGCCAGTCGTGGATCCTTTCCTGGAGAAAGTCTCGTTGTCTGATCTCGGTAAGTTTTTTTTTTCTTCTCTGATCCTTGATTATTTAATTCGGGCTTCGATTAATCTTCTGGATAATTTCGAGAATGAATAATTAGCAGCGTGTAATTAGATTGAAAAAAAATATTTGAAGAATAGTTGAGAAGGAATGGTGATAATATTATTTCGGTGGGAAAAAAATCAATACTTCATTACCGATCGAGACAAAATTATTTCATTTTCAAGCAGAAAAGAACTGTTCCAGAAGATTGATCAAATTTAATATATATATATATATCTTTAAATGAAACGAAGTCACAATGTTCAATTTATAGTAAGAATTTTTATATTAATAATAATTACATATCAAAAATTAAATGGATAATTCTTATTAGATGTAATATTTTATTGAACACTGAAATCTCTTTTCTAAATTCCATGTGAAAAATAAAATCTCAGATATCTCAGATTTTCTTTATTATATGAAAAGTTATATTTCTATTAATTTTCATCGAATTATCTTACTTTTCTTTAATTTCTAATCGAATCCTTTGTTAAAAGAATTCCAATTTAATTTCTTCTATGGAAATTTTCCAATAGAAAAATCTCAAATTCCTTGATTGAAAAAATAAAATTTAAATTCTCATTTTCCTCCCTTTCTTCACTCACTTGTATACATTCGTCTGCATTTCCATTTCTTTTTGTTTTACCATCCGAGTTGACTATGTTCAGGCGAAGAAAATGCTGTGAATAGGGTAAAAGGTAAAAGCTGATAAATCGATGGAACAGGTGACATATTTATAAATAAAGAATAGTGCGTAAATAAGGAGAATTTAAACAAATTATATCGAAATAATTAGGGTTACAATGGAATTTATCTATTGCTCGTACATCTAATAATAAATATCAATAAAAAACGATTATTTTTAATCCTTTTATAGAATAATGTAGAATAATTTTTAGTGACGTAGAAAGCTCGAGTGTTATTTTTATCATTCGGTTAAAATATATTCGATTAAAAAAAAACGGTATTATTAACTTTAACGTAAAAAAAAAAAAAAGTATAAAATTGGAATTTTGTGGAAAAAAAAGAAGTTTAAAAAAATTCAGAGGAAATTTAACAAAGTTGATTATGCGTAATACTTATGTGTGTGTTGAGGTTAATTTTAATTCGAGCGAAATTTGAAATTATGAATGGAATAAAAATGTATTGGAAATACATTGATGAGTAAAGATAGATAATCCACGTTAATTTCTTTCGTATCGACAATTACAATTATTAAAATTAATTATTGAATGCAATCGAAAAATGATCCTTGTTTATTTAAAGAGAGATACAGTAATCGGTATCGTTTAATACATTTCATTTCCATTTATGTTTAAGTCGTATTTATGGTAATAAAAAAAAAAAGGAAAAAAAAAAAGAGAGAAGTAAGTTCCAGTTATCTTACCTTGTCCATTAGAAAAAAATCTTAAAGTACTTACATAAGATCGCAATGAGGCGAAAGAAACCGAAGCAGAAACAAGTTGCGAAGAAGTACCAACTTCAGATATAAAAATTCCCTATTATTAACTACGCAATATATAGACTAGAACGAGAGTAAACGGAAATGAAATTTCATGGAAATTTGTAATCGTTTATTGGCTATTTCACTAAAGCAGAAAGGTACCAGTTGATTCAGGTCATGTTTTCGAATAGTAAATGTAATATAAATATACCTTTAAAAATTTACGAAGTCTTGGAATATTCTAAAATTTGCCGACGTACTACGCGCATCATATTATTTAATATAGATGTTGTACATTCATACGAGTTTTCAAAAAAGATTTATATTAATAAGACACAAAAAAATAAAAACGAAATAAATAACAAAACAAACAGGAAAAAATGATATATTTATCTTTAAAATTAAGCTGAAAAATAGATGATCCATAACTAAAATCGTTAAAGATATAATTTCTCTTTTCTTTTCTAAATTTTTCAGTCTTATTTTAAACAAAATTGCTGTTTCATTCATAAAAAAAAACTTCATAGTAGCCTAATCATTATATTTCAAAAATTCATTTATTTAGAAATTCCTTCATTCTGAATCAATTCTAAATTCCATCTCTAATTCTACTCTAGATTAGGAAAAAAATTGCTATTCATAATTTAATAAAATTTAATCTCAAATATGCAAATTTATTTCAAGGATACGTTTAAATAAAATTTTTCATTCAAAAATTCTTTCATTTTCTACTAGTCCATGTATTTATAATTTTATCCTATTTTAACAAAATTTATTTCATTCATTGTCTGACAAAATTTCAACCTAATCATATATTCAGAAGAATACGTTCATATAAAATTTTTCTTTTATAAATCATCTATCTTTATCCCAATTAAATCATCTATGATTTTTCCATGCCTGAATTTCTTATTTCTTAGACATTTCAAAGACACAATTTACAAAATTTTTCACTCAGTAATTATTCGATTCTATATCGGTCTATAAATCATTGTCTAACAAAATTCCAACCTAACCTCTAATTTGTACTATTACTACATTTCAAGTACACGTTCTTATAAAATTTTTCTTTCAATAATTCTTTCGTTCTACGCCGATTAATATTTACTAACCTTTAACAAAATATACAATTTAATACATACATACATTGTTTACTTCATTCGATCCATTACTCGAAAATGTATATGATGTTTGTAGCTCGTATCAGAGACACATAAGGATTATATACCGCGTATCCCGGGCCGAGAATGAATCGAAGGCAAGTTTAAACCACGTGCTCGACGATCTATATCGGTTGTCCCTTGAAATCGTGCTTCTGCTTCCTCTTTTACCTCTCCTCCCCTCCCTCCATTTCTCTGTCTGTCGTGGGTGGATGGATCGATGAATTCCCGGGAGTCCAGCTCGCTCAGTGTGCACATCAGACAGAGAGGGACGATTCGAGAGGACCGGAAGTGGGACAGAGAGAATGTTACATATAGGTCGATTTTCTT